ACAGACACACACACACACACACACACAAAAGCATGCAGACACAGACAGACAGACAGACAGACACACAAAAGCAAATATATACAATGTTAGTATTTACTATAAATTATAATGCATCCCACAGCACAAATTCATGGTAAATAATCTGGTGTTTTTAAGCACAACATTTAGTATTAATAAATTTCTTATTCTGTCAATAAGTACAAACCTGTGACACGGCAGCCTTTAAATCTCGACAGAATCATTCCAGAAAGTTCCAACACAATCTCACAGCAATTCCTAACTTTTTGATTTAGTGGCTAATTTGATTAATGTATTAATTAATTTATTTATTTAATTAAAAATGTAAAAAAAAAAAATAAGAAGAAGAAGAAAAATATATATATAAAACAAAAACAATAATAAAATACAATGAAATATAATAATAATAATAATAATAATAATAAATTGCAATGATTTAATTGCTATTTGCTCATCCACCAATGAAGGGTGAGATTTTGCGGCCATTTTTGTCATATGAATACAATCGTAGAAATTTGTACGAATTAGCCACTTTTGACAATGCATAACACAGTTAGGTTTCCTCATAAAATTGGCCAGAAAAGTTCTTTCTTCAGCAGCAGGTCCAGCCAAAAAAAAAAAAAAAAAGCAGTTGGAAACTCACAAAGACTAGAAGATGTAGTATGTTTTCTAAAAAATATATATATATATATTTAAAATAGATCTTTACAATTTTTTTTATTAGTTCAGTATCATTTGCCAACTAGGAACAAGATGCTATGCTATACAGGTAGCAAATGGAAGCACACACACGTTGTATTTGTCTTAGGAAACACTGTTACAAAGTACAGTAATGCTGCTTATGTGTCTCTTCATGATAAATCACCTTGTGTTTACATGGTTGTCACTGATCTCAGAGCATCTCACAGTGTGGCTTTATTTCTGTGCGTGCATGCTTTTCTTCAGTTTGAACATCAGTGTTTGTGTGTGTACTGGAGCTCTGCTCAGGGTGTGAGTGTGTGTGAGTGTGTGTGTGTGTGTTTGTTTCTTTTGTATTATTTGTTGTTGTTTTTCTCAACCAAAGCTGCATTCATTATCAGAGAATACTGTAAAATATATAGATCTATTTAAGAAATATTAATAAATAATATATTGAAGATGTTTATTTATTCCCGTGATGCAAAGTTGAATTTACGGCATCATAAAAAAAAAAAATCACAGTCTCTGTTAGTGTTGAAATCCCTTTTTGCTGCTTCATATTTTTGTAAATAAATGAATTAAAATCAAATTTTCAATTAAATAAACACAAAAAATTATTAAAATGAATTAAAAACTAGTTAATTAATTTATTTTTCTATTAAACACTCAATTCAGTTTTTCATTTTACAATTTTTTGTGAAATATTTTGAGCCATGTTATATTTTGGTGTAAAATATGATACACTGTCATTAAAAATATAGAGTATTATTTAATTTAATAGCAAAATTAAACAGTCAAGTGTATAATAGTTCATTTATAATAAAATAAATGCAGTTTTTTAATTTTTTTTATTTAAAAAAAATGTAATTAAATAATGTAATTCAAAAAATAAGATTCACAAAACTATTTAGCAGCAAAAACTGGTCAATAGTGATAGTAAGAGCCATGATTATTACTGAGCACAAATAATAAAGCAGCAAATAAGTATCTTAGATGTAGAATCACGTGACACTGAATCACAGAAAGTCTATAAAATATAATAAAAGAATATTACTAACTTTTTACCACCAGTGTTTAGATTTAGATCAGGGGTGTCTAAACTCGGTCCTGGAGGGCCGGTGTCCTGACATTTAATCCTAGCCATCAGATTATGCAACCCTCACTGTAAAATGGTTCTAAAGTTGGGGTTAGGAATTAGGTAGATTAGGGTGATATTACAGCTTCATATCACATTACTCCACATTAAAAATTTACGCTGGTAGCAAAATCTGATGGGTGGCATAGTGCATCATTAAAATCTGCTACCTACTTTTTGAATGGGAGGTCAAGCTAGGACAATCTGACAAGCTAGGACAAATCGAACACAGATTTCCTGCATAGTTTAGCTCCAACTTCCTTCAACAAACCTGCTTGAAAGTTTCTAGTATACCTAGCTTGATTAGCTGGTTCAGGTGTGTTTAATTGGGGTTGGAACTAAAATATGCAGGACACCGGCCCTCCAGGACTGAGTCTGTATACCTCTGCTAGATATTATTTATGTGTGGGCAAGTCATGCAATCATGTTGTCTAATGTCTCCATCTCGTGGTTAGTGGCCTCCATTACAGCATAATGTGCACAATTACGTTCAAATAAGTACGTTTATTTCCATCCGTATCTTTACCACCAAAACAAACTGTCTGCTGCGTCCCAATTTACATACTTATACTACACCCTAAAAGTGTGTACTTTTTTTGTGAAGAAAAATACTTTTGATTGTGTAACAGAAGGGAATGCAAACTTTGAGACATACACCACTTCCGTTAACAGATCGTTGTGCTTAGTTATGAGCCCTGTCAATCATCCACATCATCATATTTAATTTCCTACCTTATTGGAGAGGCAGCAGCAGGTTTAATCTCCCATTCACGAGTCTTTCATGCGGAGAAATCTCCTCAGGTCTTTGGACAATGCATACAGACGTTAATGTCCAAACAAGTATTTATATAAGTTCAGTATTGTTCTTCCAGATGAAATATAACACAGAAAACACGATTTGAATATGTTCCAGTTGGCTAGATATTAATTAACAGTCATATAAACATCTTTACCGAACCCTCTCTGCTTGACGGTTGGTCTCGCGCGTCCGCCATGTTTGTAGTTTATTTACACTTTTTTTTACACCCGCGTTTGTAGTTCTAATCTTATTCACGTCCAACGTACTGTGGGCAATATCATCGGTTAGAGTGTGGACAGTTCTACACTTAAAATTTGACCAGAAATACTATAGTAGACCATCCAGGAACCTTTGGCATACTCTTTTCAACATAGGCTACTACAATTTGGGACATACGAATTCTTTTTTTTAAATACTACTCATTGTTAAAATAAATAAATAAATAAATAAATAAATAAAAATCCAGTTTAAACCAGCCTAGGATGGTTGGCTGGTTTTAGAGGGGTTTGGCCATTTCCAGCCTGTTCTGGTCAGGCTGGGAAATGACCAGCTTGAACAGCCTAGTCAGGCTGGAAGCCCAATCAAAACCAGATGTCCAGCTAAAACCATGGTTTTAGCAGGCTTGTCAACCAGCTAAAACCA